GGTGGAGCAATCGAAGGGCTTAAATATGAAGTTATAGGAAAGGGATATGAAGGTGAAGGGAACAGTAATGCTGAAGATAGACTTCGGAACTTGAGCATAGAAGTGGTTGCATTAGTCTCCATGAAGGTAAAGGGCTGTGGGCGCTTTGGCACATACGCATCGGCTAAGCTTAGAAAGTGTAGAGTCGGATTATCTGAGGTCGACTTTGCATATGAATTAGCCTCTGGTTTGCTAAGAACGAACTTGCTCGATATGCCTCATGAGGATCAGAAAGTTCATACTGTTGAGATCGAATTATGAAAATAATTTTTAAGATTTCAACAGCACTCATCCACAACTTCTAGTTTGTGAACTATTATTCGTTTTCAACATGAGTTGAAGTGTTGAGGACAAGAGAACTGTTTTTCTTTTTCTCTTTTGTAATCTTCTGTTAGCTTTTCCATTTTCGACTGTGATATTTATATAAGTGGGTTATATTATCGATTTCAATATGGTTTGCTCGTTCATGACAAACTGGATTTTCGGCAATTTGAATAGCTATGTGTATATCATCTGCTATCTTAATTTTTAAGTTACCAAGACAAGTACAATATGTTATTAAGAAGGATGACATGCTCGTTATATACTTGAATGCACCAAAATCGAAGTTGTTTTTATCTGTTACCAAGTTCAATGTTACCCACCCCCACCCTGTCCGTGGCCAAACATCACTTTCTCAAATGCAATTGGTAGTGGTTAAGCGATATAGGCTGCTGATTTTTTATTACTTGATTTTTTTATTTTTTACGGTTTTGAAATAAATTTTCTAAAGTGGTGGTTATGATGTTGCCGTTGCGTGATGACATTTGTGAATGTACAATGTAGCGTTTGGTCGTGGATGGGGTAGAATAGGACGTGTGAATTGGTTGGGAAGATCAAAATTTTCTAAATTCTTTATTTATTTTATTTACGTGTGAATATGTATCATGCAATTTTTGACACGCCTAGTTCTTGGTTTTCGTAATGGGTTGCACTCTATTCGAACCATTTTGATTCAGCTAGTATTGAGCAATATACATTTTTGTGTACATTTTATTTGACACTCCCTTAAACATGGGGTGGGGCCCATGATTTTTAAAATCGCGGACCCCACCCCCATGTGAGGGAAGTGTCAAACTTGTTGTACACAAAAGTGTACAACAAGAATTATTCGTATTTAGGATGAAGGATCCAATAAATTTTTTCATGCAAATAGTAAAAACTGTTATTTTGAGTTCATGTTTGATTTAACTAAAATAGTTAATAAAAACACGAGTCACAATTAATAATTAATTTTAATCATATATTTAAAGAAATTCATAATTTTTATAACTTTTTTATCGTACATTTAATCGATTTTTATTTTGGAGGTTTTTGAAAATAATGTATTTTGGAACAGTAATTTTTTTTAAAAAAAAAAATATGTGGTGGAAAAATTTTGAGTTTACGTGTAACATTATTTTATGATAAGATATATAAAACTAAATTTTTAAAAAAAGAATGTATTTTTTGAAAAATGAAGCCCAAACTGAGTAAATGTATTAAAATTGTGATTTTTATCTAAACGTAAAAAATGAAGCAATTTCTTTTTCATTTTTCGACATTAAAAATGTGTATTGAAAACTAATGTTCTTTTTCATTTTCCGACATTGGAATCGAATTTCTGGTATTGCATGTTGGGAAAAAAAACCTTCCTTGCCATACAAAAGAAAAAAAAAACAAAGAAGACACAAATATGTGGGGTTCACTTTTTTAAATTATATTTAAATCGGGGGGACCACATCCATGTGACTATTATGTACAACTTCTGGCACAATTTTTGTACATTCAGCATTGTTGGGGAAAAAAATGTGCATGTAGGGTTTAATTGTAACGGAAAAGCCTTAATGCCCCGGTTCAATGATCGGGGCATTAACAGAGGCGCCAATTCCTATTGGAGGGGGGCAGTTGTGTCAGTCCCCCTCCAATGTTATGCCCCGGTCATTGAGCCGGAGCATAAAACATCTTTCAATTGTAACTATCCATTCAGTTGTTAGAGGTTTGAGTGCTTTCGTCAATAAATCATTTGAAGCGACAGATGGTAATTAGCGATCATTTTCTTGTTCCTTACTGAACATCTCACCATCTCACAACAACTGCAACACTTTTTACCCTCATCCGTGCAGCTCTGTTGATTTGCAAATAGCATTCTTCTTCACCTCAAAGGATGTGTCAGATTTAGTTTGTTTCAATTAAACTTTAAGGTCCGCTTGATTGCAATAATGAAAAATAGGTGGAAAGAAAATGAATTCCAGAGAAAGTAAGGTTGTTCTCTTTGTATTTCAATTTTGTGTTTTGAGTTTTGAATTCATTTTGGATTTTGTGTTTCGAGTGTTCATTTTGAGATTGTTGAAAATTTGTTTTTGGCATTTTGAAAAATCATTTTGAAAACACCCAAAACGACATTGTGTTCTTTGTAAATTTTTAACTTGTTTTGAAAAACGGGTTTTCGAAAATAGAAAAAAGAACGCGTTTTCACTGTTTTTGAAAAATCAAAAACAGAAAACGNAAGAACGCGTTTTCACTGTTTTTGAAAAATCAAAAACAGAAAACGACTTGAAAATTGTAAAGAGAACAGACCCTAATTGCCTATAACTTATTTTCTAGGGAATTGTTAATTAAGTGTGTTTCATTGATATAATTTTCCACTTGAAAAATTTTAGATCTTTTTGTATTTGTTTGGCTTTATTTTATATGAAAATTGTCCGTTAAAATGATAATTTTTTTTTCTCAATTGATTATAAAATTTGTTTTCATTGTCAAAAAGTAAAAACAAAAAAAATATTCCCTAGAAAATTTTTTTTAATCAAAATTTAGTGTTCGTTTGGCTTTATTTTATATGAAAATTGTCCATTAAAGTGAAAATATTTTTTACAATTGGTTATGAAATAACAATTTTTTTTTCCGTTTTCGAAAATTCATTTTCGAAAATGACGAAGAGATCGCGTTTTCGCAGTGTTGAAAAATCAAAAACAGAAAACGGCTTGAAAATTGTAAAAAGAACAGACCCTAATTGCCTATAACTTATTTTCTAGGAAATTGTTAATTAAGTGTGTTTGATTGATATAATTTTCCACTTGAAAAATTTTAGATCTTTTTGTGTTTGTTTGGCTTTGTTTTATATGAAAATTGTCCGTTAAAATGATAATTTTTTTTTCACAATTGATTATAAAATTTGTTTTCATTGTCAAAAAGTAAAAACAAAAAACAAAAAAAATATTCCCTAGAAAATTTTTTTTAATCAAAATTTAGTGTTCGTTTGGCTTTATTTTATATGAAAATTGTCCATTAAAGTGAAAATATTTTTTTACAATTGGTTATGAAATTTGTTTCCATTGTAAAAAAAAAAAAAAAAAAAAAATTAAAATAAAATTAAAAAACTTTGTTTTTCATGAGAATTGTCTATTAAAGTGAATTTAATTTTTTTTTACAATTGGTTATGAAATTTGTTTCCATTGTAAAAAAAAATAAAAAAATAAAAAGCTGAAACTTCCATTTCCCACCAAAAAGGTGGGAAAAACAATTCAGGCAAATCTAAGAAAAAAAAACCAAATGCCAAGAAAATTATTGCTATCCAACACTACAAAACTTGGAAAATGAAAAACTAATTCCATTTTTCATGAAAAAGGTGGGGTATCAAACACAACCTTAACCTTAGATGATATATCTTCCATTCTTCTTTCTTCTCTTAAGACATTACCATTATACTGGTTATAAATTTCTGTGATCTGTTATCTTGTCTTTCTTTGATGCAATTAGATATATTTGTTTGGAAAAGAAGCTATATGTCTTAAGAAGATAATGTACGTCCTGGTTATGTAGAACTATCTTTCTGTAACTGATTGTATTGTAATATTGAACATTAGATATTTATTGATGTTGAGTATAGTGTAGAACCATTTAATTGTTTAATGGAATGCCCATTGTTTATTTGTCTTCTCTAAATCCAAGTTTGAATTTCCCTAATCTTTCATTTGTCACTTTTTTCCACTTAGGTTCTTCATAACATTGCCATTGTGAAAGCATTCGAAATGGCCGTTCAGATCCTAAGAGGCTTATTGAAGTACTTGAAAATGTTAAGGTGCCATCATTTTTTCGTTGCGTAACTACTTTTGCAATAAGTTGTGTGTACATCTAAATAGGGGCAGAGCCAGACTTTGAATGTAGGGGGGGCCTAGAGGTAGAGGTGAAATGGTGGGGGCCCACGGGGGTTCGGGGGCAGCGCCCCAGAATTTTTTTTTTTGATACATTGTTAACAAAAAAATCAAGAAACGTATAAAAGAAAGTACTAATCTTTAATTTAGCAAAATCATACTTTGATAACGTTATATAACTACATTATAATCAGGCGAAATTCGGGCTAAAAGTTACTGCATTGGTCGCTCGAGCGAGTCTCTAGCGAAAGTCGAGCGAGGGTTGAGCAGTCATCAATTTTTTCATCATAACTTTCTTTACCGATATCCGATTGTGATGATTCAAATTCCATTGGAAAGCTAACTCGAAGGGATACAATTCTTCTAGAAATAGCCATATCCAAATTCCAATGTTTTTGATGTGAAAAATGAGTTGAAAGTGGTAATGACAAAAAAAAATTAAAAAATTTTTAAAAAAAATTTGGTCAAAAATGGGAGGGGGGGCCAGGCACCCCCCAGGCCCCCCCTTGGCTCCGCCCCTGCATCTAAACATGTTCATCTATACTGCATGTGCACATCTATGATGCTCGGATTCGGGTACAGGTATGTATCTAAGTGTCGAATTTTTTATTTTTTAAAATATAGAATACGAGGATACGGCTAAAAAGAGTTCAAATTTTGGACACAGGTACGTCTTTCAAACTTCAATTTTTTTATTAACCCAAGATGTCATTTTAAATAGACCAAAATCAATCATTTTTAGATTTTTTTTTCTTCGACCTGACAGAGCATTCATTGCATATGGCGTTCTTTACAGTTCTAGTTGTAGATCTAGCACAAACGGAATGGCAAAAAAGGGTTTGTGTAGTTGAAATTACCCTCAATTTATTGGGAATACGGCTTAATTTATTACTGTCAAATTCAGAGAGCTTGCTTGCATGTACACCGTTCTTCAACTTGCATAGCTTGAATATTTACTTGTGGTATGTACATTGAACATGCTCACTGTGCTGTATGAGATAGCGTTATGCCATACATGCAAGTTCATGTTTTGACGATATGTCGCATTTCCTCAATAAAATGTAGTCATAATTTATAGATTGAACGCTTGGCCATGTTTGATTCAACTAAAAAATTAGATTAAAATTTAAGTCAAATCAACAATTAATTTTAATCGAACCGACAACCTTTCAATTTTCAATCACATTTCATTAATATTTATCAAAATTCACAAAAAAACATAATTTTTATCTAATCAGATTCATACTGAGACAAGTATAATGGTATTTCTATGTTTTGGGATCTTTCATCTTTGATCTTTATCTCTGTGATGTGACAGTGAGATTAGACTGATGTGCATGGCCATTCTAATAACATCTAAAATGATTTTTTTTTTATTTTTTTTTTATATAATAGATTAACATAATCATGTCTAAGTTTAGCTGCACTATACACATTATTAGATATTAGTGCATGGTTCTGTCTTGAATTAGAATAAATGTTTTTAAACATTTTCTTTAAAATTCAAAGTGAATGCTCCTACGTCAATCTCAACAATCACATATTTTGATTCTTTATATTGATCGTTCCGAACTAAAAGAAAACTTTTTGGTGAAATATTTACATTATATAGCTCTCAATAGTCACATACAAGTCTACATCTACAGAAAATAGAAATGTCACATATAACCCACGTATTACATGATTGTAATAGTGTTTGATTTGCATGAAAAATATCGCTTAGAAAAGAATATATTTTCTTTATTTTGAGGAAAACAAAAATTTACTCTCCTTAAAGAAAATATTTTCCTTAAAAACAAGGTAAACCCGACATATTTTTAAAAGTTGAAAAATATTTTCAATGAAAAAAAATAGCAATCAAACACTCCAAAGTAGGAATGTGGATGAAAAATTGATATTTTCCATAAAAATGTAATCAAACAAACACTTGGACATTATTTTCATGCTTCTTAATGCTTTCAAAATGGGCATATCTACTTCTGCATGAGAGGATACTAAACTAGTTTCATCACAAGAATTCATCAAATAAGTTACGACTATATAGTCTATAAACGAGGCCAGATTCATGAAAGATCAAAAATTCTACAATAAAAATGTCAATTGCAGAATCAAAAGTGAAGATTGCAGTATACCATATGCAGCAAAAGTTTTAATAATTTACAATTCAACTAATTTTCCAACCGTGCATGTCACAATGCGTACCAAACACGCATCTAATATTTAAACTGAGTTAAATATTGCCGCTATTTGAACCCCATTCTCTAATAAAATATTTTTGTAGGTAAACCCAAAACTTTTTCCTAATTTTTAACCTGTTTTTTTTTTTTTTAAATTCACTATTACAAAATCTATTCTCCCAAAAAAGGGGCTCAGAGTCCTATCAAAGATAACGGGATAAACGAGATGCAAGATTCCGCTTCCGCAATTTATTGCCTTGAGGCCCGAAGAACTTCCACCTATTCTGTAAAATGGTTCTTGTTGATAACCCCCTTTATAAACTCAGCTATGATACATTACCCCGCAATAGATTTTATATTGTACAGCATTAATCAGAAATTATTCGTCTATACTTGCAAATTACAAATCACTAAATTATGATGAAGAAAAAAATCAATGGACGAAGGGGAAAAATGTGGCAACAACTAAACTTGAATGAAGTATATATTGCGGAAACCTATCAAGCACATCAAAATTGGTAGAGATCATCAAGGACAAATTTCAAGATCTCTTCACAACAGCAACAGCAAGGTAAGGATGGTGCGTGAATTCGAAAGAAACTTTAAGTGATGGGTCGAGAGTCCCTAACCGGCAAATAAGATTTAGAGCAATACCATTGTGCTCTGCAACCTGCTCTATTCGCCGAAGCTCAGCTATTCTGTCGGGATCATTAGCAAAACTATCCCGTAGCTCCTTTGCAATCCTCTGGGCATCCTTGAAGCAGTTATACACAGATAACGTCTGCACATGGAGAGGCTGGTGAATAACTGCAGGTGAAAAATTACAAACAAAAAAGAAATGATCCATTTATTGATGTAACAAATACTCACAGAGAAACGAGCATGAGTTGTGGTTTCCCTGAATGAAAAGTATGAGACGTGGTCGGGAAGGCAAGCCTTCTGTAAGAGCTCGAAGTGCTGGATAAATCTCTGAGAAAATTGAGAATCTAGTAAAAATGGCATCATCCTCGCTTTTACTACTCAACATAAATAGCAAAAAAACAAAACACAAGAAACTACAAAATTTTATCATTGCTCAAAAGCTTGCTGGCAAAGAAAAGACGAGACATTTACTAACTGTGTGGATAAGTTTATAGCATGAATAAAAATGTAAGTTCCCAAATTCGTCAGCTATTCATAAGCATGCCCCTTTTTTCTCCGTTTCTTTGTAACTGAAGTTTGAACACAAACCCACTGAAGACAGAACAGAGAAAAATACCCCATGCTCACTGTTGAAAGGACCCAGGCATAGAAAGACCTTGTGTTCATTTCTTAAGGCTGCGAGCATCTGAAAATTTTGGATCATTAGACACTAGTATTAGCCATAAATGATCATTTTAAATTTATGATCTGTCCACCGACCGTGCTGTGTTTAGTAATGTCAAAACCAATGCATAAAACAGAGCAGAACCTTATTGCTCAAACTGAATCAAATATTCATTATTAAATGATCATTACCAGCATAAGACCTTCAACAACATAGATGTAGCATTGGAACAATAAGACTGCAGGGGGGATCTGATGGTCCTTTCCCATGTCCTTCACAAAATCTCTCTTCTTCTTTGTTTTCCGTCGACCTGGTCAGGGAGCAGAAGTGTTGGAAGATTTCATAAGCAAAATCCAGCATCGTCCATTCGAGAATTACAGAAAAGCCTAACATCATATCTACCTTTCCCCATAGAGCAATTTTCATGCAGGCTATAAATGCAGGAACATTTAGCCCCAGTTCGGTCCCAATTTTTAAAACTCATTTTTCCCCAAACTCATTTTCAACTGTACATTTTATGGAACCCACAACTTTTATCAACTTTTTAACCACACAATTTATCACCTTTTATCGAAATCTCCTAAAATCTGATTTTTAGCCAAACCAAATAGGGGCTTAGTGCGACAGGGATCTTTCATCTAAACTTGAACTAAGTGAATTAGTAATGAACTGTCTCCAAGCAATAACTATGTAAACTCACTAATTCGGCAGGTAAACTTATTATATGATAAAGCAGTCAGAGGTTCCACTCCCATTAATCTTGAGATAGCCCATCACAAATTTCTGAAGAAGCCGATACAGAAAAGGAATATCCCATAAAATGGGTTCAGTGGGTGGGATCCATGGAGAACTTTCATAACTAACTTACATCAAGTTAAATCCAAACAACGAAACATGGATTTTACTTTAATTTGATTCCTGGCGTCCAAATTTCAGTTCATGTTAACTCGTTCAGATGAATGCACTGCATCACATTTTCTGTTTCGAGATTGATATTCAACTCCTATTTAGAGTTACTAATATACTGAAGCCAAGAACTATATGTTTTCTATCATAAACTTTTCGGAGCTCAATCTCTTCTTATTTTTATCAATCCAAAAGACTTAACCCCTATTGGCCCCCCATATTCTAAAACTCATTTTGCTTCAAATTCATTTTCAACCACACATTTAATAAGACCCACAACTTATATCAACCTTTCAACCACACTTTTTATCAACATTTATCAAAATCTCCTAAAAATCTAATCTTTAGCAAAACCAAACAGGGGCATAATCTCCATGACCCATCCTGGTAATAGCTTGCTTTAAAAAATAAAACACGCATAACTTTTCTTAAACCAGAAGTAGGGAACAATCTAAAACCTAAAAAGCAGCCAATATATGTTCATAGACCCTCTTATACGGAAGCAAACATTTTTCTATTCTAACACTTTGAAACTAAGCCAATATATGTCGATACATGATTTTTTCAAAAAGTAGGACATGGACATGTCAACTTAAATTATTTAAAAACTACGCATAAATGTATAACATAATTATGTTTATACTTCTTCAAATAAAATCAAAATAATTACGTTTATACTTCTTCAAATAAAATCAAAATTCCTTTTAACTTTTTTAAGGTGAAATACTTTGAATAAGAGGAGTGGCAAATTTGTTAAATTTTAATATAATTCTAGGTTGAACTATATCTAGTGCATGAAAGAAAAATAAATATAATAAACATAAAAAAATTGATATGAAGTTTATTGGATTTTTCTTGCATTATTTTACTTTTCTACACGTTTTCATACTTGGAAATTTTCCTCACATCTTAAAACTATTAAAATATGAACAATATAGAACACGCCACATGGTCTCACATGTGGAATTTCATACACATGCATGAGGCGCATCCGAAAGTGTTCCTTGAGGGCTCGAGTGTTGGATATTTAACAATTATATAAAAGTAAGATATAGTTGTCGGGCATATGGGAGAGTCCATGGAGTGTCAATGTCCAATACATGACAGACACGGCCATGCCTACTACGAGTACTTGTACTTTACAGAAACTAGGTTTGCCTATTCATAACAAATATTCCAAAAAGTACATATTCAATACCATCTCGATGTTTTAGCAAAGAACAGATATGATTGGTGTTAACCATCTCATCTAACATCTTAAACGTTTAATAAACTGCACATATATGTACTTAATTTAAGTCTTCAACACGTCCCCTCATATGCAATCCAGATTCCTTCATTTTGTCAAAGATCTGCTACCTATGCTATTTCCATAAATGAGTGGTAGCCAGACTTGAAGAGCCTCCATTCTCATACCATGTTAACCATCTCTTTTGAAAGCTTAAGCTCTTACAGAGGAGCCACATTTTTATCTTTACTTTGGTTTTCAACAATATATTTAGAATATATCTCAAATCACAATTATATCCAGAAACAGTACTTTGAAGGTTGTAAAGAAACACTTGATTCAGATTTCCGGAAATCAAAACATGGTCAAATTTGAAAATTCCATGTGTTACTTTTAGATGCAAGTAGCAAAACAAAAGCAACTAAGACAGATACTCACTAGTTTCATTGCTCATCATCATTTTGATATGTGTTTTCTCTGCAAGTTTCATCAGGATAACATACATGTACCAATAAGCCATGCAATATTCACTAGGAGAGTATAGATCCAACTCAAAGCCCAGTGTCAGGAAGCGTGAAGCTATCCAATAAGTCTTCTCTTCTACCCAAATGAGGATATGCTTGCAGATCTTCATGCATAAATTCTGCAAGAACACAGACAATAAAGAACAAAAGATGACAGAGCATACAAGTGTAGACAAGTTTCATTGAAACGACGAAGAAAAGCAGAGAATGAAAGAACTGGTGTACAAAACAGGAATATCAAGACAATTTTAACCGGTCTATCGCGCAGGATAATCTACTGACTGCATAAACAAAATTTGAATCTCATGGTATATTTAACAGTTACATGCAACTTGCAAGACCATTGAATTGCAGACTAGCTTAAGACTGACTTGTAATCAAAGAATAAGGTTTTTCCCAAGGTACACACTGAAAGGGGGAACAAATAACAATCAAACTATCCCATGGAAATCCAAGGCTTGGGCCCTCTCCATTTGGATTTTCCCTCTTGTGGAAATTAAGCCCCTGTTTGAGCCACATTAAAATTTTCGTTTTCATTCTTCTACTCATTTTCAACCACACATTCTTTAATAAAATAATATTTTCCATCGCATCAGTAACTTTTCCTTCTTTTTCAAACACACATTCTTCATCAATCTACTATTCCAAAATAATGTGGCTCAAACACACCCTAAGTCATGAAACTTCACAGGTCAGCTAAAAGTAACAGTTCATATTATAATAGATGAGATAATCATTGGGAAACAAGTAAAAATATACCTCATCAACTGAAGGCCGTGAGATATCCCCATGCTCCTTTCTGAAAGCCAATTCTAGCTGTTTTACATAAATTAAAGCATTAAAACATTTGAATGGAGTGAGGAAAGGTTATTAAAGCAACAAGTTACTACGAAGTATAACCTGAAAATAAAACACCATTCAAACTTGTACAGGAGGGTGGGGTAGGGTAGGGTAGGGTGGGGTGGGGTGCAGGGACTACATAGAGGCATGATATGACATAATATTTCAGCTCCAAGATATTGTTAGAAAAATCAGCATATAAAAGCCAACTTTATATTTTAACTGATGTAAGCAAGTACAGCACTGTCACTGTTATTACAGGCTGCATCCCCATAATTGATTGGGGTATAAAAGGATGAAGCAAGAAACTCGTAAAGGAATAAAAGGGAAACAAACAACAGAAGTACAAAAAAAGATCATGACAATAAACAAAACTGAATCCCATGTCATTGCATAATAGCAAATCATACAGAAAAGGACTACATAGAGAAAAATAATTTGCACGTGATAACATATTATTTTAGCTCCAGAAAATATTGTAAAATATCAGCCAATAAACATCAACTGAATATTTTAACTGTTTTACAAAATACAGCACCGTTATTGCATGCTGCATCCAGAGAAGTACACAAAAAGATTATTACAAAAAAGGAAACTGAATCCCATTTCATTATAAAATAGCAAAAAACAAAAGAAAAATAAAAAATGAAAGTTAAAAAATCACAAGGACTCACAGCAAACATAAGCATAGGAACACCAACTTGGAAAGTTGTCATTTTATAATCGACAAAAATAGAAATCTTAGTACTGTCAGCGACCTCCCTGGAGGAACTTCTCATTTTCATTGATCATTGTCATCAATAATTATTAATTTTATTTTATTAATGATAAATATTATTCTCATCAATATTGCATAGCATTTTTGTTTTTTGGTTTTAGGAGAGTTGGGCGCACTAACTATCCTAGCATAATCTTCTGAAGTTTGCAAATTTCAGCATATAATTTCCATTAAGGACATAAGAACACTAGAAAACTAAATTAGATAGCCTCAAGTCAATATCTAGAATGATACAAAATTGCCCAACAAGGGGGAATGAATTTGAATATATGAACAATGGAAAAAGAATATTATGTTGCTCATAAAATGAAAGGGAAATTAATTTTCCGTTTTCTTCTCAAGAATTCTAGTTAATTTATTTGCCGATATCTTTCCAGATAAACTTTTTGCATTATTGTTTACCAAGAGTTAATTAAAATATGATTACTTAGTTAACCATAATTGTCCAAATAAAGGGTAGAAATTAAACCATTCAATCCCTGGTCTATTAACATAGAATCGAAGATAATATGACTTCATGCTCAAGAAATCAATGCATTTAGGGAAACTGACACGAATACATCGTAACAAGAAAACATCAAATGATGTAACATGTTTATATAAATGAGAATGATGAAGATACAGAAAATTGGAAGGGAAGTTCATTTGGTAGGCCATCAATTCTGAATAACCTGAACATAAATGATACGCCAGTCTTGTAAAATCTTCCCCAGTTTACGCCTTTGCCATGAAGTATTTGTACAGAGAACTCTCAGCAAATTGATTGCTAACTGCATTGTAAAAACGCAGATCATTTCCATTTTATTTCAGTTTCTAATAGTGGACTGAGCAAACAAATTGACCAAAGCAAAAGACGACTCTATGATGGTGTGACAACAGAAATCTGAATTAGATGAGTTACTCCATCCAATTGCAAACCAGCTACATGCACCTAAAAGCTCAGTTCAGTAATCAAATAGATAAAATATTGAACATAAGATCACATTGAAGACCATCAGGTCAAGGGACTATGGTATCAAGAAACTATCTAAAACTTCACCTGTTCTAATTGTGGAACAGTTATACTCTTTTGAATATCATTATTCTTTGCCTCATCAGGCAGTAAAGCAGCTTTGCAAATAACAGCAAACATTGGATCACGTCCATAGAGCCTCCCATCTTGAACCAGCAGAAGCTGTTCCAATGTGTAAGAGGTATTATTAAAGTATTGATCATGTGATAAAGCAAGAAACGTTGACATGAAGCCCCTGTTTGAGCCCCATTCTTTAAAACTCATTTTCAACCACACATTCTCCCAATAAAATAATTTTGCATGTAAACACAAAATTTTTCCTACTTAACCACACATACTCCGTAAATATCTCTTTTAACAAAATCTATTCTAAAAAAACAGGGCTCAAACAGGGGCTAAGAAACAATCACATGTACCTTCCAAAGATAGACTAAAGAACATGACAAGAACATCTTCTATTGGAAAAGTGTGAATTTATTCAAAGATATGCATTCTTGGCTCCCAAGGAGTTCTTATAAACATCAGCATGATATCCATTATACAACTTGCCCATTTTTAATTGGAGACAGGCTAAAATTGATTGAAATTTTATAAACCACAATAGGAAGACCATTCAATCAATCTGAATAACACCTGCTATTAATTTACCTTCAAATTAGACTCTTTTTGACGCACATTAATTCCTCATTTTAATAAAAAAATGCTACCGTTGCAACAGTAAATGCTACAGGGAGTAGCCGCAATATTTGAAAACACAAAAGTCAGCGGTCTTTTGGCATTTGAAATGTCATAATTGTCCTTTTTTAAAATTTGGCATAGAACAAGTGAGGGGCAACATGGTATTTAGTATTTTCATAAAAAATTTCAACTGATTCAGGCAACACAGTCAAACATGGTTGCCAAAGTGGGCCAGGTTCACTGTATAACGGCAGAATTTTTCATTCTCATTTTCAGAAAAATGCGCACCAAACAGGGGCTTAGAGTAAACACATGGAAAAGAAGAAAATAACCGCCTTACACTCGGAAAGAAAACCTTATGATTAAATAAATCCATGTCTGCAATGATATATGCTAGTTGATGACATAATTCATTCACAGATGCAGACATCCAAACTCTATGTATTTCAATTAATTTCTAGGTTCAACAATATTAGCCTTCAGCTCAGATACGGACCCTCAAAGTCCACATTTACCCATGGATAAATGCCCAATGTTATGATAATATTTACCTTTTCCAAACTTGGTGTAGGCATTAAAGAAGTAAAAGGCATGATGTTAGATGTCTTCACCCCTTCTGAAGCAACATGTAAGCCCCAAACATTTCGAATGATATTTTAAGCATAAAATGCACAAATAAAATTGGTCTGAAACTATAGAATCAAACTGCAAGTCTATCAAGCCAGCATAGAAATCAAACCTGGACTAGGGCTCTAGCAACCATATCGGGTTGAAACTTCTGAAAATCGACCACAAAGCGTAAAACATTTTCAAACACTGGATCCAAAGAATAGGAACATAGAATTTCTAAATCATGAAGAAGCTTCTGGAAATAATCGACTGCCTGACAAAGATGAAAGATGAAAGGCATTAATTTCATTTCGAATATAAATAGATGAGTCTTCAATTGAAAAGTTCCCCAACTAACCTTTTTCCAGCTAAATAGTTTGATTGCACGAGGTGGAGTAGGGGTTGCTGACCTACTGTTTAACGTAGAATCAAAACCAATTGGTTGACAACCAGAGGCTGTTGTTTTATCTTCTATTCCCTCCTCTAAAGTTCCATGTGCATTGTTGGATCTCAGGAATTCTCCTGATTGAAGTATGGAATCTAGCTCTGCTAAGCAGGAAATGATATGTTTCTTTGCCAACTCCAAACCTTTGCCTTGAGGCCGCCTCATGCATGTTAGAACATGGTAGAAGTGCTGAATATAAAGACGCCAAATGTTACTGGTGAAAAATTAAATTTCATGATAAATATATTTTCCATACCAATTCAGGGAAAAGATGAACAATATATATTTACATGTAGCAGCACGAAAAAATTGCATTCATCAAATAAGCTGTATGGTAAATTATAAATTAAAAAAGGAAGCAAAATAACAAGAAGTTTGATAATTTCAGCTCATGTAGCCCCAACAAAAATATGTTAAAGCGGATCACTTCACTTTTGAGGTTTCCGGCGATCACAAAACTTATGAAAACACTCCATGTCCTCAAAACAAATAAGGGATCCAAGTATTATATAACAATCCAATAACTAGGCATGTGCTTTGAAGTCAATGCACCCCCTCCTCTCCCCCCCCCCCCCAACATTTCATACCCCCCCCCCCCCCCCAAACATTTCATATTCAGTTTTCTTTCAAGGATTACCCAAAATAGAGCCCAATATGAAAAGCCAAAATATATATCTCATGAGTGTGCAGCTATGACATGATTTTAACAAAAACGAAGATACAAAGAGAACAAGATAAAAAACGACAATGAGGTGAAGGCCAAATGGCCATATAAGGAGGTGCTTGAAAGTCACAAGCAAAACAATATACATAAAAAGTTGGACACCTGAAATGTGACTACTCCCTTTATCCCAAAATAAGAGTCTCTTCTCTAGATTTCAAAATTTAAGCATAGAATTTCATTCGAGCTATAAAGCTTCATTTTTCCACTTTTCCCATTCACCAACATTTTCTTTTACTCTTTTTTTTTGGGGTCATATTTAAGGGCTCAGTCATCCTAAAAATAGGATTCGTTTCTTCTCACAAATATTCGCTTGTAGCATACCATATTTCAATGGATTGGGGTATTATTTCTACCTAGGATACATTCCCATAATGACAGTTTTTTTCCAAAATCAAACTCTGTTGTTCAGCTTCTTGAACTAACCATCGCTTAGAAGATATTGTTAAAAGATCGTCAATTTAAAATGAAATGGATGTTCCAATAGTTTGGTGGAAACCCAAGAGTCTTTACTTGATCAAGGATGCAAGATGTATATGCCATTCCGAGGTGATGTTTTAATCTACTAATAAATCGTTTCACGGAAGTTCCACCCATCACTTTACTGTGAAATATCAGATTGGTCCATTCTACCATAAGTAACTCCATATTCTACTAAATATGATTCAACAATGGCTTTGAGCCAATGATTGGAAAACTTCCTTTAAAATGGCAATTAGGGAGGAAGATAGTTTAATTATTCAAATTGGACTCTACTTTGGGACTCTACATTCAAAAACATTGATTCCCATCTACGTAAAATCCTCATTTTATGTCCATAGTTCCTATTCTAGTGAATATTTTACAGGGAAAAGGGGAAAATAGTGGGCAAGCACAAACTTTTTGATCAATTTGGAAGGTTCATAATTGCAATAATAAATCCAAAGAAAATTCAAAATGCAACAGCCTGATTCAGATGCTAGAAGCAGCATATGATGGTTTTCAAAATTTAGCATACAGTATATAACTTTAGAGAGCACTCCATCAGAAGAAATTCATCTGTGCACCTAAACTGAAAATATGTACATGTATGCTCAGAATATTAACCAATACGGTCACAGAAAGACAAGGAATTAAAGATAACATAGGAGAAGACCTTACGAAAACGTAAGCGGCACAACAAAGCTTTGCAAAATCCTTCTTCAAGATCGAAATTATTTTGTAGTGGCTCTATATCTGCATATCAACAGATAGTAAAAACCTTGAAAATAAGATCTAAAATGCCTTGAAAGCGTAAAAGAAGGTAGTAATGGCACGACAGATGGCAATAAATACGTAGATGTGGATAAAATTAGGATCCCAAATTTGCTTGCATGAAGCACATCAAGATAAATATTACAAATCTACATTGCACATTGCAAGCAACCATGTTTCAGAAAGGAGATTCCTAGAGAAGTTCTTTCAAAGGATTCATCTATCTGATTGATGAATCATAAGAAATTCATGGTTCATATTCTTAGTAAGAAATAATAATCAAATTGAGTTCATGTATTTCCCTAGGTCAGTTTATGGGCCAATAAAGGATTTTTATCTTCAAAACCCATTGGAAGGGGCAGTGCAAGAGAAAACATAGAGAAATGATTGAATCTTTTGACTCCCCAAAAATACTATGAGGTGCTCGGAAATGATCAAAGCAATTGAATAGGAAGATCACTATGGCTATAGCCCTTGGTAATTTACAAAACATAAACTGACAACACATAAGCTTGTCTAGGATAGAATCAACAGAAGGTACATCGCTTGTCTAGGATAGAATCAACAGAAGGTACATCCTCATGGTAGAAAATAGTGTCACAATGCCAATAAGTCAAGTTTAATGATTAAGAAGCATAAAACCAAGAGAGGAGGCACACCCCACCTCAAGGTGCCAAGTTTTTCATTTTTCAAACATAATAGGTATTTCCAGAAACTTATGCCCATTATATTGGGTAACTCTATTGGACAGGCCTGTTCACCGTACCACATTGCATATGCAAATGTTATGCAGTGTATGGTGCTGAATAAGTATTCAAACCTCTTACTTTGGAATCATTTACTCATGGTCATAGGGGACTGACTAAATATATTGGGTTTCAAATGTTTCATAAAAGAACTGTGATAGATCAAACAGAGGAGTTCTTCCATTTCGAAAAGGTATCTAATAAACCATAAAAAACCAGACTCCAGCTACTTTTTCCAGATTAACATTTATATAATAGTTCTATTTTTCAACCTTGAGGTGCACACATTTTTTTCTAAACATCAAACAGGCTACTATTTTAAGAAAATTGTACTCATCAGATGCAAAGTATACTTTCACATCTAAATAGTGCTAACATTTTCACGAGAATATACATATTAATGCTCATTGAGTACCTTCTAAAACTCTTTTTTTAGATGTTGGGGCTTTACAAGCTCTTAATTGGCGAGAAATTGTTTCTTCCACAGCATGCAGCATTGATAAGCATTTATCATCTCCTTCACTCTTTAATGGTAGGCCATATGTCATAGTGAAAAGATCCTCTTCCTGCCAATGACGAATAATTGAAACGCCAATATGACCCTATTGCAATCCCAAATTAACAGGTCTAACAGGGTAACTTAGAAATCTCATACAGGCATACAATACATGGACTGCATCTTAGAAATCTCATACAGGCATACAATACATGGACTGCAAAGTTCCATATCCAAATACACAACAAATGCAATTATTGCAAAAGAGTTACATGACTTGTCTTGATACAAGACAATGATTACATTTTCTTTCTTTCTTTCTTTATTGAAAAATCATATAATGGCTATTTTTCCACATTCTTCCAGATTTTTGCAATAATTTCCTTTGAAAACAGAAATAACTGTTGAATTTTAAGCGCAAAAGAATAGAGAAATCAACACAAGTATTTAACATGGTTCGGAGATATGCCTACATCCACAAAGAGCGAAGCAAAGATTTTATTCAGTATAAATAATAGGGTTACATCATTAGTATTTATATTAATCCTATCCCAAGCCCATATAAGATTTTAGGACCCGTACAAGAAAATACACCCGTACCGTACAGCGGGGGCGGGGCAACCCCAACCTATTCAACGTCTCTAGCAAACAAACAGTGAATTAAACCCACAGGACCGATGCCAGAGCGAATGATCCAGTAAACTTGTGTTCCACTCTATATGAGCCTCGTATACAACAATAACCAATAACAACATGACCATGGATCTTTACTAAACTAGGAAGAAGGTTTAAGTGCAAATTTAAAAAAAAAAAAATCCTTCATTGACCACCTAAATTTTAGAAGGAAAAATACTGATTACGAAAGTCATGAGTTCGATAATGAAGGTGCATAGATTGTAAGAAAAGTTCAAACATATACCTAGCTCTCTTCAAAGGTGGCTTACTTGGGATAGGGCACTGTTGAATGGTAATTTCATAATGGAAGGAAAGCCCTTTAGTTCATATTAAGGCACATATGCCATTCTCCAAATTTCTACCCAGATAATCTTTACTTTATTCATCTTGATAGTAATTGATGATGATGGAGTGCAGAGGAGAAAACAAAGTGGTTCCAGCAATCACACTACTGTCAGTATATGCTCTTTGATAGTTGGAAAAGAAGAATGAAATTAAATTTAATGTCAGAGAGGTAAAGGTTTAAAAAGACATCAGACAAAAAGAGCTTCAAATGCAGAGAGAAATGAAAGATGAATCAATGGATGGGACATGCCAAACTATAAAATATATTCAACAACAATTGACAAAAGTTTCAATGCATAACCACTCAGTAGGTAGCGTATCCAAATTTCAACGTATGTAATGCAAGGAAGTTAGAATATAAGTATCCATAAAGGGTGAAAAAAATATTAATCATTTGACATCAAAATTGATTCTATGCCTTGATGCCACTTCCTGTCAGTCATCCTGCAACCCCCACTTCCACCCACATCCCCGTACTATGGGGGAGCCAAAAACATTGACAAATGTTTTATATTCCAATTCCAGACCTGAAATATTATAACTTCTTAATGCCTCCTATAATAATAATCATTTGAAGTTTGTGGAGGGGTTAATAGACATAAATAGTTGGTGCTGCCATGTTAAATTTAATTCAATTTTATTAGAGTAAAATATATGTACAAACAACACTCAGTGCCAACAGGGGTAATTAAGTAGTAGTGTATATGTACAATACTATTCAATCATGGAGTCCATACCCAGCCACTACAACAAGAGAGGTAATTTGAAATGTGTAAATAACCAGAGAAAAAGCAATACAATTTCACAACACAAGTCCACAATTATGGTATGCCATGTGAAAGATCAGGAAAATACTGTGTGTCTAGACACATCAATATCATTGGTTCCTTTCTCTAGAAGCATTTTTTCGAGATAACTACATAATTAAGGTACTGTTGAAAATATTGCCATATCAGAAAGAGAGAGACTCCTTTACTTCATTTGTACGCGCGTCCGAGACAGCTGAAACAACAGCATTGCAAGTTGCACGTATAACTCTGCAGTAAGAATGTAGTAGTGCGTGCGATGATGTTCTCTCGGGCCGCATAAGGTAGATGGAAGAGAAAACAGTTTGGGCTAGTGATCCTCCTTTATGCCATGTTGCCTGCACCATAAGTGATCAAGTTAGAAGATTTTTCCTTCTAAGTGAATTATTATGGGAACTGCAAGAATCATGTTGCGACATATTTGACCTATACCTCACATGATAGTAGATGATCCATGATGTCTATAATACGTTGCACATCAAGTGTTCTATCAAAACTCAAAGGAACAGGAGCAGCGCCATTCTCAATGGCTTCATCAATCGAATAATATGTAGAAACAATACCTGAATCCATCTTTGGGTCCATTATCTGATTAAGATAGGAACCCATATGAGACCAAAAAAAATAGAACAAGTAAAAGAAGAGTTAAAAACGATTAATCTGAGCATTGTGTGTTGCGTTCCATCAAAGACATCAAAACCAACATATTTGAATAAATTTAAACTGTCAACAAGGATGCAAAACTACAATCTCCTTAAATATGAGAAAATGAATCTACAATGTGAAGCATGAAGAAAAAAAACCATCTTACAATTACCAAAGAAAATAAAAATGTGATACGAAAAATGTCATAAGAGTACCAAACTAACAATCATTATTTAGTTTCTTCACCCTTTCAAAGACTATAACCATTTCTTCTATAGTTTTTCCTTCCAGTTTAAAATTATGATCTAGGATGCAGAAATTGTTTTCAGTATTGAAGTATCAAACTATAGATAGGTGGTGGTCTGTTTCTATTTTCCTTTATTAAATGGAATTCATTTGATGGATAGTTTAGATGGTGTAATATCCTAGAATAAAACTCATTTAGTAACAAGATGTGCAGGAGAACAAAAAGAGAGGAAATATCAGACAAATTTCATCTCTCATAATGATCTGGCAATATAAGGTCTTCCCTTTCTGCAAATCATTAATCATTAATAAAACACAACTTATGTTTGGCCCCCATTTTTTCAAAACTCATTTTCAACCACACATACTCCCAGAAAATAAAATTTCACGTAAACCGAAAAATTTTCCGTATTTTTTAACCGCACATTCTCCAAAAAAATCACTATTCCAAAACTCATTTTCCCCCAAATTTTCATTAAAATGGAGCCCAAACAAAGGCATAGATATTACCCTCGACACTGGGTTCATCAACCTCAAATATGAATGTGAACATTACAATGTCTCCGAAAACTTACTTTACTCTCTCTCTCTCTCTCTCTCTCTCTCTCTCTAAGCTAACTTCTATGGTATGTGATTAAAATAATTTTGTACTATATGAAGGAACAAAACAGTAACCATATATTAGCATCCATGGCCATCTACATTTACCTAATTACCATCTAAAAGCAAGTGTGTTATAGTAAGCTGAGGGTAGGAAACCAGATAGATACACCCCATGTCCTTCAGCATTGAGGAAAGAGAGTGCTCAAGCGACCTTTTGTTTTCTTTCATGATTTGCAAGAGGGAACGGAGGACGTGTCCTCCAATTCTATTTTCATATTCAAGAAATTTCACCATTCCATTTTATCCGATTAAATGCAGGGAAAATCAACATCGGGATGCACATGCAATTTGCAAGTGTTGCAACAATGTTGAATGATGATTTTCACACTTAACCTCATAAAATACGTTCACAACTATCTTCGCCTTCAATAACTAATGTTTTATCTGGAGCATGCCCTCTGATATATCAAGATAGCTACAAAAAGTATGGAGAACCTGAATTTAAAGAAGTGAAACATTACCTCTAAGGCTGACATGGCTGCAAAAAGATTAAAATTTTCACCATTTATGAGCTCATCATCTCGAAGATCTGTGATGAAATATAAAAATAAGTCACTACCCTTTCTTTCAGATTAGATAGCAAGAATAAGATGATAGGGAAGAAAAAAAAAGTTTACTTATAAGACAAACATTTGCTTTTATGTAAAAATACTACTTATAAGACAAAAATTTAATAATAACTATAAAAAGTTATCAGTAAAAAATTCACGTGTGAAAAATTACTAACATGTACAAAATTAACTTATAACTTTAAAATTTACTTATAAGTAAAAAATACTTATAAATTAAAATTTTAATTATAAGAAAATATTTCACTTTTTAAGTTAAGAAATGACATATATATAAAAAAAATTACTTATAAGTAAAATATCACTTATGAGTAAAACAATTCATACAAGAAATTATAAATTGAAAATTTCACTATGTGACATACACATACACTCCATATTATTTACACATACCTACTTTTGTATATAGGAGCATACATATAATCTTATTCTTTTAAAATACATTTAGAACTGAATCGGTGGATAATAAACTCTCACGTATGGGTTAGACTGTTTTAAAATCTTAATAAAAACCATCCGAAATGAACCGTTCATAAACGTCCAAAATCAGTACTTTAAAGAAACCCAAAACTCTTACTCAAAACTCCAAAGCATGCCCTAAGAATTATTGGTGAGATCACTGCCATGATAAATTAGGAGCAATTTTTGTTCTAATACCAAAATTAATAAACATGTTTAATCAACAAATTAATGAAGATGTTGAAAGAACAAGAGAATATTGGGTGGTGATCGAAGTAATACTAGTTAAATTTTAGCGAACAAAAAATTTCTAGGCAGAAAATTGAGTTCTTCATTTTGTAATTTCATTTAAACAATATGGCCATGTTCTTAAAACCTAAAGGCTCCCAACCCTTTCGTAACTAGGATAGTACTAGAAAAAAGTACAAAACCTTCTCTAACTATGAAAGCTTAAATCATACTGGCGTAGCTTATAAGCTAGTCAAACTTTTCTAAGATTATTTGGAAAAAAACACATTTGCATCCCTTCTAAAATTGGTTTATGATAGGTTTTTTACCTTGAATAGCTTCTTAACTCAATTTTTCTTTTCAATTAATAAATGAATTTTATGATATACCTTTCTTCAAAACCGTATTCACTTTTCTTCAAACACTACACCAAGACAGTGCGAGGATTATGAAATCTATAACATTAGGGATTCCTTTTTCCTCAAGTAAATTTTAAGGTGCAAGAGTACGGGGAGAATGAACACTATTATCAGAATTCGGGGAACTTGTGGTGAGTGTACTATGCACAAATTCTTCAAAGTGGATAATCTCTTATACTTATTATACGTAACCATTGACACTTATAGAGCTTATATCCAAACTTTGAATAGTTTCAACACAAGAATCCATCAAACAATATCGTGTAAATAGAATCAGTTAAATCCTTAAATAGAATATACAATAATACCATGTCATCTACGTTCATGAGAGCCTTTTTGATTTTAATCATATCACTTTAAATTATGAGCTTGCCTATGACAAACATAAATGTAAATTACAATTTTTTTCTTCAATGATCAACGAATCTTCATCAATTATTGATAGTCCAAATACATGTAACTAACATGCGGACTATCTAATATACCTAACTAGTAAACTAATCTAATTTCCTTGTCTAAATGAAGAGGATCGATCTCTGACACAAGGAGGCCATATTCAATCCTTCTCTTATGCGACATCTGAGGGCAAACATTTTACGAGAGTTGCTCACACCTTATTGTCTCTATCCAAAGCTACTGAATTGAATCAATCTCCAATCTCCACTCTTTCAAATCGCTCTTTCCAGGTTGGAATTTTATTTGCCACCAACTCCATTCCAGCCAATCAACACGGGCAAGTGATAAAGGAGAAGGGCATACTCCCATAATTAAGGTTAGTGAATTTCTTTCTTGCCTTTCGTCTAAGTAGATCACCCATGCGGACTATCTAATGTACCTAACATGCGGACTATCTATTTTTTTTCCTTGAGCTACTGCGTGTTAGATACGTGTCATAGACAAGCACATAATCTAAAGTAATCTTAATAAAATGTTTATTGAAATCAATAATGCTCTCATGAATGTAGATGGCACAGTCATATATTCTATTTAAAGGTTCAATTGATCCTATTTACACCATATTGATGAATTCTTGTGTTGAAACTCTCCAGGATTTGGATACAAACTCTCTACAATTGCTCATAGTTGCATATAATAAGCATAAGTGATTCTTCACTTTGAAGAAGTTGTGGGACTTTGTGCATACTGCACTCACCCACAAGTCCCCCAAATTTCGACGGTGTGTGCATGTGCCCTGCACTCCACTTGAGGAAAGAGTAACCTCCGATGCTATGGATTTCAAAATTCACACATTGCCTAGAAGCAATGTTTGAACAAAAGTTAACACCATTATGAAAAAAGATATATAATAAAATTCATTGATTCTTCCTAGAAGCCTAGCACTATAAGTTTCTATTTAGAAACCGAAAGCTTAAGCATCACCCAATCAGCTCTTCCTCAAAAACTTTCTTGAAGAATTACAATAAAATTTACTACTATAGAATTACTTGAACTTGAAATAAACTGACTAGCAACTACAATGAGATTTTTTAAACATTTTATACACAAATTAGTGCTTGGGGTGGATTCCCGGGCCTGATCCTGGGTGATGAAAGATTTGAGCTTCTGGGGATATACTTGCTGACCCTACATTAATTATACTTCTCTACCTCTTAAAAACGAATACACGAGCAATTGGAGAGAGGAAAAGATATCAAGATACCGTTGCAGGCAAGTCGGAGAAGACTTGAAACATCTGCCCACACAGTGCCTTCGCCCGAAGGAATCGAAGGGCTAATTGATACTTCAACAGCTCTCCCTCTCTCAGCTTCAATTTTCTCTGCCATTGACATCTTCACCTCTCCTCTTCTCCCTCTCTCTCTTAGCTGTGTACGAAAGAGTGCGAATTAGAAACTTTGCATTTGACGAGAAACCCTATTCCGCTGATTTCAAGAACGAATTTGGGAGGTATGAACAATTTGTGCAGAATGTTCAATGTCTTATTGCTTCAGTCTGCCGCAACGCCAAAAGAGTCTCTTGTTGGTTTGGAATATAGGGCAACTTCGATTTTTTATTTATTTTTTCCTCCATTTTCCTTCTTATGAAAATTACAAATTCAGTCCCCAACTTATAGTCTTGTAGAAAAAAGTTAAATCCTAAATTTCCATCTATGACATTTTAATCATTGGTAATTCACTTTTGTTGCACTGATACCCTTGTATTTATTTATTTTTTTAAAATGGAAAAGGGAAAGAAAAAATCATTGAAAAAAAAATATTGACCGTTGAAAAAGGAAAATTCCCAAAATTCTCTTGTTCCAGTTCATCTCTCTCACATATAAAACGCTCAAGAAAATGAATTTCTCAGATCTGAATGGACAAAATCAGCTTATCATTTTGTAATCCATGCAAAGTCCATGAAGCTCGGTTCTTGTAATCGCATTCTTCATATTTCCGCATTTGATTCTGTGTTTGGTTTTACGTTTCGCAAATACAATGTCATCATCATCTTCATCAGATCATAAAAATCATCGAAGTAATTCTACGGCAATTTCAAACCCTAATTGTTCTTGCCAGCATCTATCGCAGCTCCGTTCACAGTTAGGGCCCAATCCGTTCGGGAACCTTCAGGAGTGTATTCGAGTCCGCCCGCTGGGCCGCGCCGCCATCAGACGTGATCCACCGGGCGAGGTCGTCCAATGTGGCTCGTGTGGGCTTTTGCCACCGTGTGTTTACGCCTGTGTTTCATGCGCCATCGTCTCTTGCCGCGCCCACACGGCGACTCACGCAGCGGAATCTTCTCATTATGTTATGGTTGATATCGACCGCGCCGAGCTCTTTTGCTGTGCTTGTGAAGACCAGGTGTACGATCGTGACTTCGACTCTGCCGTGATTGCTGCCCAGTCTAACGCCGTCACGATAGAGATTGGATCCGCTGCCCAGCCGGAGAATTTCCACAAGCGGCGCCGCGTGGATTACAAGTTATGGGCACCGGATCTCAAGGAAAGGGCCTTATTGGCGGAGAACTCGCGCCCCTTGCTGCCGAGTCGACCCGGTGACTCACTGAGCCAAGACAGTTCATCGGTGAGTTTAGTCGGTGGTGACTCGTATCTTCCTTGGGGATTGAGAGGTCTCAACAATCTTGGGAACACGTGTTTTATGAACTCCGTGTTGCAGGCATTGCTTCACACTCCGCCGTTGAGGAATTTTTTCTTGAGCGATAAGCACAACCGATTTTACTGTCAGCGAGAAAATAAAACCATTATTACGCGAAAGACTGAGCACAATAACAATAAGAATCCGTTGCTCTGTTTGGCGTGTGATTTGGATGCAATGTTTTCGGCAGTGTTCTCCGGGGACCGGATACCTTATAGCCCTGCGAAGTTCTTATACAGGTCCGCCTTTGGAATGTGTTTTGTGCTTTCACCGAGATTTATATCAGATTTTAGTAGCTTGTAATTTATCCATTAAATGCTACCTATTTTATAGTTGTTACAAAATTATTTTGTATTCATCTTTTATGGTGGAAATGTATTGGGTGTATCTGACTAGAAGAGGAAAAGATATATACTGTTTAAATTATTTTTTGCTGGAATTTATGGAGTTATCATTGTCATCATTTCTTCTTATTGAGTTATTGGTGAATGGTGCATGAGAATAAAGATTGCATTTTATGATAACATTGTACCTCCATCTTGTTCTTTTTTCTTTATAATCTTACTCAAGTCTAAATTATTATTCATTGGCATACTAGCTTCTTATGGTGTTCCCTGATGGTAAATGGAGAAATGGAAATTATAACCTTCCTGTTTTGATGTTTTAAATCTCCAATTTAAAATAGCTGGTGGTATGCCGTGATTTATCATAATCATATTTGTAGTTCGTGCACTTTTGGTCTGTCCTTTTCCCAGTTTTAAAATTTGTTAATTAATGTTTGTCATGTTATAAAGTGGTTAGGTAAGTTATGCTAAGGGTGGGTCCAAAGATGAAAATCTTTGTTACATTTCACTCAAATGGTGGATGTACAAGTATGATATTACTTGTATGTTGCTCTATATCTCTGTGAATCTTGGGTAAATATTCATTGTGCTACTATTTTTCATTACAGTTGGTGGCAGCATGCTTCAAACCTTGCAAGTTATGAACAGCAGGACGCACATGAATTTTTCATTTCTATGCTTGATGGAATTCATCAAAAGATGCAGAAGGATAAGCGCAAGCCCCATAGTCAAGGTAACTATGTTGCTACCAAATATACTGTTAATTGTCCTTATCTTGTTAGATATTGATGTGATCAATCAGAATATGCAAAAACAATTGAGTGGTGAAGAAAGTATCAGTTCTGTTCAAAATTTTATTCGATGTGTGGTATGGGTCTTAGAACCTTTGCCTAGGAAATATTTATTTATGATGTCGGTGGGGAAAATTTTAGCCTTAACTCTTTGGGAATCCTTCAGGTAGGACATATTTTATGCCCATGCATAAATAGTGTAATGTTGCCCAACATTCTAAAGTCAAGTGGCTATCATAAAGATACTAGATGAATTTAGAAAAATCTGTTATATTGAGCTCTGTTGTAGCTTTCAGGTAAAGTTTGTTCTTTTTCATATTTTATCATTGGAGACAATTTAACTTATGCTATATTCCTAATGTCAAGTCTTGTGCAATTGCTAAGTACCAAGGAGATATGATCTTGAAGTTTCATATTAGGCTAGATTTTGTATGCAATAAATAAGATATTAATTGAAAGATGAAAAGAAGAGGAAGGGAGATTTGGTTAAGATTTGACACCTCTAAGACTCCAACTTCCTCTTGGTAAAGCATCTGCTTTCTTTTCAAAAGTCATTTTAGCTATCTGATGACTTTTAAGTAATTATGCTGAGAGATCTTATGCCTCATAGTCTTGTCGTTAGATTAGTCATGAGAACGTATGAAACTTCTTGAACAATTAGCAAAATATTGTAACTTGAACATTCTTAAGATCCGTCCTGTATCATTTTCTTCTCGAATCCATATCATCTGATCTAGGTGTTCCAAAATTCTGGAATAGATAATGGAATTTTTAAATGCAGGATGCGGGTTTAGGTCTCCTTGTTGCCTTAGGCATTGAGAAGTGCTATCAGATATAGAGCCATTATTTCAGACCTCAAGGTTGCCTTCAGCTTCACTCCAGTAAGTCTCATTTCCTTTGGTCTCTTGGCTTCAACATAGGGTTCTTCTTGTGTCAAAACTAATTTCGCTTGTTGACTCCAGATGTGCCATTGTTAGGGTTGTTACCTCAGGAAAGCTTATCTTGCTTTTGGAGAAAAATCGAGATCTTGCTAGGTTCCATCCGGTTAAATCCATTTTTTTCAAACTCTGATAGTGTTATTGGCAGCAAATTATTGGCTTCTCTTCTATCTTGAGCTATCTTCAGAGAAAGTATGTACAACTTTGTTTCATGTGATTTCACAATTATCTTGAGCTGTAACAATTCCAGTTGTCCCTTGGAAAATGTGCTTCCTGTTATCTCTCTCTCAGTATGCCATTAGTTCAATTTAGAGAATATCGTGCCGTATTTTCTCTCCCCAACAAATCAATCATGCATATTAATAACATGATGCTAAACCATGGGGTAGGAGGTTGTAATATGTTGTTATGGAGCATTATTATTGCCTTAATCACAAATTTCTTTGATAATTGTTATTTCAACCATCACGAGCTATCCTATTCTTGAAGTGTTATAATCAGAAAATAGGCATCTGAATTGACATCTGTAGCATGATTACTGAACTTTGATGATAATATGTGGCCCATAGTGTTAATATAGTAATAGGAAAGTCTGATTTATGCATGAGTTCGAATTTGATTTATTGCATTGCTTCGTAGCTTCTCCGAAATGTTTTCTTACTCGATTCTTGTTGCAAATTTATTGAATAAAATATAGAAGAAACTATGAGTGCTGATAATTCATTAACCATGTCCTGGATTAGTGCCATAAGATGGGAAGAAAATTCTAAGAATTGATTAATTATTACTAGCTGTTGGTTGTGGTATGAGGTAACCACCAATTTTTTTCTTGTGCAGGTAGTGGAGATTGTTGTATTGCTCACCGTGTTTTCTCTGGCATACTTCGATCTGATGTCATGTGTACATCCTGTGGTTTTACATCTACAACATATGATCCGTGCGTAGATATCTCATTGGACCTGGAACCAAATCATGGCGGTTCTACAAAAACGGCATGTACAAAATCACATCGTTCTTCCCATGATGATGCGGATTCTGACCAAAACTCAAGCGTGTCAACCTTGATGGGGTGTCTACATCGTTTCACTAGACCCGAGAGATTAGGGTCCGAGCAAAAGTTCTTCTGTCAACAGTGTCAAGTGAGGCAGGAATCTCTTAAACAGATGTCCATAAGAAAGCTTCCTCTTGTTTATTGCTTTCACATAAAAAGATTTGAGCACTCCCCTATCCGTAAAATGTCAAGAAAGATTGACCGCTATCTACAATTCCCCTTTTCCTTGGACATGGCACCTTACCTCTCTTCATCCATCTTAAGAAGTCGGTATGGAAACAGAATCTTCTCTTTCGACAGAGATGGGGAAGATGCTTCTAGTGATTTCTCTTCAGAGTTTGAGTTGTTTGCTGTCATTACTCACACGGGTAAACTTGATGCTGGCCACTACATCACATATTTGAGATTAAACAACCACTGGTACAAGTGTGATGATGCATGGATCACTCAAGTTAATGACAACATCGTGAGGGCTGCTCAAGGATACATGATGTTTTATGTGCAAAAAACGCTTTGCTATAGAGCAAGCCAGCGGATGGGAGAAGCTGGAATGAAAGAGAATCAGTGAAGAAAT